TTAAAAATAAATCTCATTTAACCATGCCTGCACAATGCCATTAGTTTTGAAATAACAGAAAATAAAGAGCAAAATAGAAGTTAGGTACATGGGACGTAGGGAGAAATTCCAATAACCCTCCCCATATCTATTCTGTTGTTTCAAAAATATTTTGAAATGAATGTTAATTTGTTGCATTTATACCACTAGTTTCTTTTCTTCATTGCAAAGAAAGTTTTATCCTTTCATTATATTTTCTTTGGAGAGAGAATCTTTTATTGTCTGTGATTTATTCTGAGTAACATTTTGGACATTCCTTTATGATCATAATACACAGTTTATTGACCATTATTATTCTCAAATTAATCTGTTGTAAAACTTTGCTTTATTTTTTCATAGAAGACTTTTAAAAATGTTTATTAATAGCTACTGGTATTGCATTAATATAAAAAATGAGCCACTGAAATAATTTTTCATACTCCATTAATTTTTCTCCTTTAAATCCTTCTCACCAAATGTTGTAGGAAGCTGTTAAGGAAAGCACCAACAACACCATTTTTTATTTATTTAGTATTTTTCACTCAGCAGACCCTTCCAGTAAAATCCCATGTGAGAAATAGAAATGAAGGAACAAGAAAGTTAATAGTGGCAGGGGTCTCATCTGAGTGTAAAAATAAGGAATTGGGCTCAGAAAGCCTAAGTGACTTACATTCCTGGGAAAGTGATGAGGATATTCTTTTGCTAAGAGCTCAGTGTTTTAAGCTTCCCAGCTTCTGCACAAAAGGCATTTCAGCACATATGTGATCCAGAAGGTCAATCATATGAAATCCTATTTCCATTTTTTAAGCAATGCTTGGCAGTCTGCACATTTCTGAAATTGCAACTGGCATATTTCACAGAGAATTATCATCAATGCCTTTTCAAGGTCAAACATGCTTCATATTTAGATTGGGGCATTTATATTCTATATATTAACTCACAGCATATATTGAAGAAGGCATTTAGTAGACACATGAACTAATTTTAATTAATTAGATTGTTTTAATTTTTGCCATGTTGAATTCTCTTTACTTGACATAAATCATACAATTAAAAATATTAAAATATGCCTTAGGTTTAGATGTGGGTATTATGTGTTCACTGCCCTTCCTGGAACCTAAAAATGCCTGTGTGATTAGAATTTTGCTATGGGCTTTCTTCAAATATGTAAAACACACATTTCTCATTAAGAAAATTGAAGTAATTCCAAAAATGAGGAGAGAGCAAGAGATTGTTATTACTATTTTGAAATTATCAAAACTCCAGGACACTGATCATTCCATGAGTGAAATAAAAGTGAATTCGGGCAATGACATTGCTGAGATGGGCCACTTTTTGAGATAACTGTGGCAGTCATGTCACAGGACAATGAGAGGGTTTAGGCTCTTTTTCCTGTATAGCTTCTATTTGTCTGGCTTTTTTCATATTTGTCTCCCTAGCCCTTCCTCTCACTCATATCTAGAGAAGTCTATGTCCCAATGTTGTACATGAGTTTTCTTTTGAGAGAGAGATCTGAGAATCTTCAACGATTACTGAAGCTCTATTAGCATTCTGATCCCTCCAATTATATCTATATTTTAAAATGGAATTTAAGAAATTATCTGAGAGAGGGTGAGTGGCCAAAAACTGAGTTGTAGAGAGCAAGATACATATCACATCTTCCAACTCTTAGCACATGTAACAATCATGAGGACAGTAAAAAAAATGTATAAGGGACCACACTCAGGTTTGACGTATACCCCACAGCTGTCTCTCCCACACATGCCCTTGGTCAATTTTACCATTGCCACCAGATTTTCTGTCTTGCATACCTTTAAGGGGGAGTCTGGATGTGAGTGATCCTCAGTGAGGAAGGCTCATTGCTCCAGTGACCTCGCTGTGACATGCCCAGTCAGCTCATGTCACACGCCAGGCCTGCACCTTGTGTTCTCTTTCCTGCATACGATTCTCTAATGACAGCTTGGACTAAGGCTAAGATTCCTGTTGTTCATTCCATTCTGCAGCGTTAGCTTCTGAAGCTCTCGGAGGAACACGGAAAACAGGACTGTTCAGTAATTCTGCCTTCTGTTTCCATTCCTACTAATTTTTCTTAAATGGTCTTGTTTTGCTACACATTTTACTTCCATGGTTTGGCTCCTGATCTCTATCAGGCTACTGGCTTTAAAGGACCAGGTTCGCAGCCTGGGCTGGTTTCCACTCTTCCCGCTCTCATCCATGGTTCCTTCACTCACACCCTGCGGCACTTTTTCTTTTGAGATGTCCTAGCAGTCTGAGCTCCATGCAAATTCCCTCTCTTCCTGCCTAATCAAAAAAGTTCTCACAGTAAATTTGTTTCCTCCCCTAAGTCATTCTATTTTTACTATTTGTCTTTCCATTGTAATTATTTATGTCAACATCTAAATTACGCTAATATTCTCCTTTCCTAACGGGATAAAAACTGTTTTAAAATCACCATAAATTCTACAAGCTTCTCCAACTACTCCCCATATTTTTATTTTACTTTTAACCTCAGAAATCTTCGAAATAGGTGTGTGTTCTGCTTCCATTCCTTTCTTCCCATTTTCTCAGGAATTTTGTTCCCAACTCTCCAGAGAAATCGTTCTTAACAACAGCAACGGGGTCAGAGTCCATGATCCGTTCTCAGACTTCCACATATTTGAGAAAATCTCAGCAAAATCTCCCTAATCAGTTTTGGCACCTCACTTTGAGGCAGCCCCTGTTTGTGGTCCTTCTGGTCTTACCAATCACACTTGCTGGATACCTCAGTTGTTATTATTAGGTGAGTAGTTAGATACCCTGAAGAATATTTGTGGGTTCTCTGACCATCTCTCTCTCGATTTAAATCCCGGTCTTCTCTGTGTAGCCTCTCAACTATGAATCCCATGGAATATGACTTTCACTTTTAGACCTCCAGGTTTGATTTCTACTTTGTCCGATTTTTATTTAACTGTTACTTGAAAATCTCTACTTGGGTATTTAAACCCTTTACAAAATTAACCCCAAAGCTTAACTGCTGCCTCCCATCATTTACCTTAAACTTGATCCTACTTTAGTCTTTACCATTTCACTAAATGGAAACACTCTGCCCTTTGTTGCACAAACAAAATAAAAATTTAAAAACAACAGAACGAACCCTAGAATCACTGTATTTTTTTCTCTTACTCAACCTCTGTATCTCATTAATCACAAAGCCCATAACTCGGTTATTTTACACCAAGTTTACTGCAACCATTCTATTACAAACCACTATCCGCTCTCATGATTACAACATAAGAAGACGGTGATTTACTCCTGGATTTTGCTCTATCCTCAAGCTGGCTAAAGTTTTATCTTCTGCTGAGGCGTAGATGTAGAAATAAATGTCCTCAGTTTATTTATGAGGTTTTCAATTCAGTACGTGAACTGAATTGTTTTGATTTTTATACTGCATAGCATAGTTCTGGAAAATATTACTAGATTGCTAATAATCTAGGAGGAACCAACTCACAATTCACATAATTGGAATTTCTAGACCTCTTTTATTTTGTAGTGATCATTTTGCTGTATCTCCTCCTACTGTGTCCCTTGAACTTTAGATATTCTTCAAGTTGCTGCTTATATCCTTTGGGATACTTTGCAAACAACCCAAAAGCCATTTTTTCAATACCTAAGGATTTTTAGGTAGAAATTTGCTGCATGTTGTTAATGAAATACAGAAGCTAGTAGTAGAGAAATGCATAATTTGCATATCCTGCTATACCTAAGAGAATGATTCAGTAAATAATTTTATTTATATACTTATAAAAAGAATTAATCATTGAGATTTAATGCCAGTATTAGGAGACATTAGATTACAGAACTGAAGATACTTAAAAATGTCGGCCACCATTTTTGTTTTGAATTTTTAAAAATTCAGTTGCAAAACCAAAGTAAAATGTTCATATACACGCAGGAGTCTATTTTCTTACTTACTTACTTACTTTATTTGCAGAAAAAAAAGTCCTAACAGGCTATTATTTTCCACCCAATGATTGGACTAGTGCAACAATTTTAGTTTCTTTATAAATATGATTAACTCATCTAAGAGAATATTTTATTTTCCCTAATATCCCAGCATTCACAGAGTAAGCAGAAAGTATTAATGCACGATTAGATGAGAAATCTCCCATGAACTATCAGAATATCTTAACTGGTATCGTTCATTTACCCTGCTAATTGATATGAATTATTTCCTATATATTGGGCTTTCCTTTTGCTGAATAGAGTCCAGTGGAGAAGGAGGACTCCATCAAACAGAACATGGGTCTCCCTATACTACGGAAAACACCCTCAGACATCCTGAAAATACCGTAATGTTCTTTAAACCAAAATAAGTCAAGAGATGGTGTCAGTGCTCAGTACAGCTTAACCTCAATCTGGAAGGCTGCAGTTTGGGCTCATTACCTTGCACCTGGCAAATTTTGCACCATAAAGGTAATTTCATTTGAACACACCTAGGGCACTTGGTGTTAGAGATGTGATAGCCCTAAAATTCTGCAAAGTCCACCTGCCTTCTGCAGCTCACCTACATGGAATCATTGATGAGGATCGGTCACGTTCTAGGAGGAAGAGGAACTCTGTCATAAGGTAAGGGCTATGAACAAAGGCCATTAAAGGTGGGGATTTTCCTCAAATTTAGGCTATCGACATGATTATGTGCTCTCTTGTGCTTGCACCAAAAGGTTGTTGAGCACAAGCTCTTATTCAGAAGAAACTGATTTCTTTCCCCAGTTCATCTGTATTTCCCTATGCAGAACACAGTGAATAACTTTTGTCACCTAGGAGGAAGATCCTGCCAGCAGGATGGACAGGTTTTGCTATAGCTGAGGTGCCCCTGTCCCCTTATCTCATCAGGCCGGGCCAACTCGGATAAGACCCTTCTTATCAGGTGACACCACAGCATCGGAGGCACCCACAGACGGCCTCACGGGCCACAATCCCGGCGCGCGTTGATTTATACTTACCGCTTTATTGCTTCTTCTTGTCTTCGGCGCTTTTCGTTCTTCTCCTTCAGATAGGCCAGGTTTGTTTCATTTCTCAAGCGATCGTTCTCTCTGGCAATGTCGGAGGCATTCTGAATAACCAGGCCATCGTACGCCTTCATCCCCATATCCTCAATGTACTGGAGGAAGTTGTCCAGAGGGTCTTCCTCGGGATTCACACTCAACATCTTGGAGAGTATCGTGTGAAAGGAACACTTCCTGCGTGAGAACACATTGTACCTTTAACCAACTAGGGATAAAAGCAAGGCGCTGGTTATTATCGCTAACAGTTTGTCACCTCGATTCTCCAGCGGTTATGGTACAATCCATTTGGGGAAAAGTTTAGTTAGAAATTACAAAGTAGTGTGACATTTGAAGAAATAGTAAATGAGGGCCCCTTAAGCATCTAACACTCCCTCAAAGAAGCAACATTAACAGGTTGAAGGTCATACGTGGTGTACTGCAGAGAGATGGGAAAGTGTAAATATTATATGTGAAGATAAGCATCTGGTTTACCTAATTAGTCAAGGTTTGTTTCTCAAAAATGTGTTCTTACACCAGCAAGATATAGCAGATCAAAGTGTCATTTATTTCTCATCATAAAGACATTTCTGTTCAATTTCAAATAAAAAGATGAGTTGGAAGAAATCTTATACGTGTTTTCTTCAAATTTTTAAATTAAGATATATAAATCTGAATGATTTACATAAAATAGAGCAACAATCATTCAAAGAGAAAGAATTTATATTTCTAATGTAATTTTCATAGGACATGATTCCTTTTGAGTCTGCGCTATTTTCCATAATGGTCTTCCATAGCAGTTCATTTTATAACCTTCTCTAAATCAAATGTTGTAGATCACCAGGAGCAACTCCATTCAGACCAGATTGGTAATTTAAGTAGTGAAAACTTATATCATCACTATACAAGGGTATAAAAACTAAGTCAAAGAAAAAATTACCGAGAAATCAAAACAAAGCAAAATTGAAAACAAAGATCTTTCAACCAGTACATACTATTTTCATCTATAAAATATTAGTGATAACCTGCTGCTGTGATGATTGAAAGAAATGTAGGTGAAAAGATTTAGAATAGAGATCAACAAGAATATGCACTTAAAATTAGTTAATGTCATAATAGAACTATGAGAGAAAGAGTGTCAGCAATAGTAGTATTTAGTGAATAGTTTTGAATCTTGAATCGACACCAGGACCTTGCACTTGCCAGGCAGATGCTGTACTGCTGAGCTACTTTCACAGCCCCAGCAATAGTAATATCAATTGAATGCATGTGCATGGATGGATGGATGGATGTATAAACAAGCAGGCTATGAAAATCTTCATGTCTTGAAAAGGAGGTTTCCAAGTAATTTCAGCAAAGGCTTAGCAAAATTGTGCTTTAATCAATTGAAGAAATAGAAACAAGGTTAAATTAATTACATAAAAATAAATTTTATTCTTTTAGGTTAATAAGGCTTACGCAAACTGGTATAACTGAGTAAGATGTTAAAACAAAACCAATTACCAAGGAGAAAAAGTTGTCTTGTTAAAGTTATAAATTACCTTACATCTTTTTTTTTTTTTTTTTTTTGGTTTTTTTCCAGTACCAGGAATCGAACTCACGACCTCGCACTTGCCAGGCAGGCACTGTGCTGCTGAGCTAAATCCCCAGCCCCTACCTTACATCTTTTACTTTCTTCCCAAGTCTTTTAAGCATATTTTGAATGTATGAGTCTACTCAATTTAAAAACTCCGCACTTCCATTTTTTTTCTATTAAAAATCAACATCTTTCTCTTTTTAAAACTATAATCATACCGCAAAATCTAGACTGTAGCTACGGACATTTTACTTCTCATTGGAGTTTATCAGCCTTTCAGCTGCCAGTCAATTTATATTTGATTTTAAAAATTTCTTCCTCTGTCAAAGAATACACTAGATGCAAATAAAGCCTAGATAAAGTCATTTGTTGATTTAAAATTTTGTTATGCTAAATTTGTATTATGTTTCGTTTGTTTTTAAGCCCTAGTGGGTTAGAGATGAAATGATCTTTTAATTCCAACTATCTAGTATAATGGGATTGTATTTTAATATCAGTCCATTGGATCAGATGCTGAAGTGCTTTACACACAGAGGTGAAATTACTGCTGCAAATAATTGCAATTTAGGGGAGGGAGATACAAGGAAATATTCCTCAGACAGGTCCAACATGACGATTATGAGAAATTCACATCTATCTAGGGCTTCAGTACTAGAAGTGCCTGGATAAGAACAACTCAGCATAACTTTATGGCCATTATTTTTGCTGAAGTTAAGCAAGTCAAGCCAGTGTTACAAGGGTGCTAGAAATGATGCCTCAGGCTGGAGATGATCACTCCCACTCTGCTCTCTAGCAAACCCATATATTTCCCATTTTCATGAGGCTTTATTATCCAAAGACTTTAATTTTTCTCTGAAGTTTCCTCCCAATCCAACTGGCATCAATAATTGTATACAGTTTATATATTCTATGTATTAACAAGGTTACTTGTTAACCCATGAACATTAGTAACCTTTATAGGTGGTCCTTCAAATGTTCTGGCTTTTAAATTATTTTTGTTGTCCCAAAATATTAAATAACATTAATACAAACTATTTATACTAAAGGCAGTCATATATGATTTTTAATGGAAATGAAAATTTTTGAAATGACAATCTGCCACAAAATCTACTAAAATTCAACACTTTGAAAACAGGATTTAATTGTATATAAATGCTCGTGTCATCTGATTCTAGAGAAGTAATTAATTCTATGAACATTCATTTCTTTCAAGTATTAACTGAGCAACTATTTTGAATTAGACATTAATGAAGTCAGAGTGCTGTACTTCTACATGTCTGCATTGCAGTATACGTGAATGATAATTAATTGTATTAAGTGCGATTAGGCCACTGATTCAGATGAACTTCGTTAGTTGGTCAGACATGTTTTATTTTTGCCATGTTTAAGAATAAACAAGGAACATTTTGCAACAGTTGTACGCAGTCCTGGAAAATGGGCTAAACAGCATGCATCGTGACATGTACCTATAATCCTGGGCCTTCAGGAGGCGGAGACAAGAGGATGGTCAGTTCAAGGGCAGGCTGGGCTACATAAAAAATTGACTAAGCGCTGGTCAATGTCTAACCATTACATTTTTCCAGTGTCTCCTCTTCACAGAGAAGCTAATTTGTGATGTAGGAGAGGCTGTGAGGCAGCCTTGATGGACGTGAATGAAAAGTTTTGCAGTGTGATTCCAAACTGAGGAGATTCTGAATCTATGGTGTTGTGTAAATTAATTAGCATGGGTAAGCTCTGTCTTTAACACTGAGATAACAGTGGTTGGAAAAGATTCATGTTCTAAGGGTTCAGTCAGAAGATGCATGTGTAAGTGTTCAATTATATGATCATAATTATCAGTAACTAACATTACTATTTGATATTTTGCCTAATTCTTAATTGCACACAAGGTTACATTGGATAAGAATATAACTCCCTGACCACTATAATTTTACTTTGAAACACAGATAATACGGATATTTGAGTAGAGCAACTTCCTTAGTCACACATGTATCAATGAACAAAATAGGAATTAACACCCTTCTTCACCAATCAAATGCTTCTTGACCTATCACTTACCTATTGTTTCTATTGTCTACATCTAGAAAATACGGGAAGCAAGAACTACGGACCATGGAGTTTATCCTATCTCTTAAACCCCTGGACTCTGCCCTTCTAAGCAAATGGGATTTCTCAGGTAACTGAACCTTACTCACTAAAGAAAATTGAAGCTCATGTTATCTTCCTTTTTATAACTGCTACCCTTTGATGTAATGAAAATAAACAAGTAAGACCATAAATCTGTTTGCCTTTCAGAAATGTATATTTACAACTAAAAGGTATTGAATAAAACCTGTTCTATACCATCAGAGACTTAGCAGTAGTTTGAAATTTGATTATTAAATCTAGCTAATCTTGCCCCTTTCATGGCATCTGTATGCAAGTATATTACAAAGGCTCAACTTTAGTACCAGTTGCTCAGGTGGCAGTTTAGAAGACCATGTTTGTTAAGAGGCAAATGAGATCTGTTTCTCAAGACAGCACATCTAGATGTATCGATAAATAAGGATCTACCTTACTACACCTCTAATTAGAGCACAAGATAGTCATACCAGAGTGGGTGACATTTGGGCTGTCTTTGGGTTGAAGCAGTGAATGTCTGCAGCCAGGTTTGCTCAAAACATATTAGAGATGTTAGACCCACCCACCTGCTCTAGTGGAGGAATGGCTAAATACTTGTACAGTATCGGGTCTTTATTTTAAAGGCAGAAATATTTTCTTCAAATGTAAAGTACCAATCCAAATAATTCAGTAGTGTGTATGTATTTCTTGGAATTTATGGCCAACATTTATAGTTCATGACAGGGAATCTTTCTAGAAAACCACCTAAAAAATTAAGTCAGAATCCCTGTACATTCTACATATAACTTCATATCTTCACTTTATATCTTTTCCCCACAGCTGTATTCTGCGTTCACAAGAGACTTCTTCTGTTTGATGTTTAATGTACTGTGTATAGAATTGGAGAATGGTGAACAAGCACATAAAAGCTACAGAGACAGGCTTAAATACAGATGGTGACTATTTGTTTAGCTTTATTCGCTTCTATTGCTTTGTTACTTATACTGTGTCCTATTGACCACACCCTTCACAAAGATTACTTTGTGTAGTATTGTTACACTTCCCAAATTTGATAATTTCTCTCAACTAAGCCAGAATGCACCACTCTAAACTCCTAGGATTCTAACCATCCTATCCAAACGTTTAACTTTGCATTGAGTTAAACACTATTTTTTTCTTTTGTCCAAAGCCATCACTGTTCTTAGCAATACTGAACGTAGGGCTTAAAGTACATTACTTTTCCTTACAATTGCTTCCACAGATATAAAACTACCCTTTATGTGAACATGTGGAACATAAACTAATTATGTTCAAATGGAACTCAAGGGATATTGTATTTAAAAATTCACTTTTTTTCTTTCTGTAACTACTAAAAGGAATGCAGGAGCTATGACACTCCATGATACTCAATGTTAAAAGTAAAGAAAAAAGGGAATATATATATATGCATATATATAAATATATATGCTCTTAAATTTCATTAAGTAATATATTTATGTAGAATACATTCTTTGTCAACTAAGATATCAATTATCTGCTGTCTCAGTTTACAAAGAATATTTAATCTGGTAGCAACCCTTGTCCAGATTGAGTTCCCTATGACACAAAAGATTTTTGATTAGTAATAGGATGATATTGAAGACAATATGTACAAAGGGATTCATAGAAACATGCAGCATGCCAACTTCTCTCTCATTTATGTTTAATCATTTCACTCCCTCTTGCTTATAATTCAGAACAAATTCCTCCACTAGTGTTATTCCATACATTTTGATATCAACCACTCCAGTTCCAAAAAGCCTGGCTCAGATGGATGTGTATATTAACTTGTCATCCAAAGCTTACAATGGACCTTATACTCTCATTTACCAAAGCAGAGTTCTATATGTTCTAGAATCTTGTGAGTGAACAAGCCCTCCAGTCTTACAGGTGCTAGTTATATTTATCTTGTAAGTGTTGACCCTAAATGCCTTAAGTCAAACTATTCTCCTTCAGAAACTTTGCTTTGCTATGATGTAAAGTTGGTACAACTCTGTTTACGTGTGTATGTGCCACCTATACTGAGTGGTAGAAGAATCAAAAGCTCTGGGTTGGGAGAGAAGTAATGTCTAAGACCGAAGTTCCTTAGGAAGCTTCCTAAATTTTAGCCCATAGTTAACGCTGCCACATAGTCTTACAAGAATGATGAGATATATTTTATTTTGGACTGTTATTATAGTGCTATTGTCATGAACAGGAAGAATGTAACACAGGCAAGAATACACATAAACACTTAACTTTTACTTCATATATATGTTTTCATTCTATTTGCAGCTGGAAAAGTTTTCTAGTCTCCATCCTTTATGTATTTCTCAGGTTTTCCAACAACACTTGTTTTAATGCTGAGATAATCTATTAAAATTTCAGTTAAAATTTAATTTTCCCTCCCACTCCAATCAGTGTGTTCACCCTAAGATAGAGTCATATTTTTCTAAGCAGTATTGATCCAGTAAAAGTTTCCCAGAGCATTTTGCACTCTCATTTATTATTAGTCAGCAGGAAAAACACAATCTTTCACATTCCTCCATGCATTTGACAGATTCAAAAGTACATTGCATGTGAAATGTAATTATCTGTAATTAAACTTCATATATGTATGTTAAAATCATGTGAATTAAGAACTGAAATTTGGTGACTTCACATAGTAGTACCAAATCAGCAAACTAGATAGCCTGGCTATGATCCATAACCCATGTAAACCACAACAAAATTGTTTTTCTTATAAGATCTTACAATCTGTCAAACATTTGTCTCATCCTTCCACTTTGATTACACTTAAAATTGTATCCAAAGCCCCACAAATGATCATGCTCATTTTCCTATCCTCACTGTCATCAAAATGCAGCTGTTCTGCCCAAAATGGGAAATGTTGAAGTTACAACCAAGAAAGCACGCTGAAGGGACTACAAAGACACTGATTGCTTTTTTCTCAGAAAGCAGATTACTTTGCTGTGAGTTTCTCTTCACTCTCTCTCTCCCACAAGTTGGCATAATGGGCATAGATCATTTCTCTGTAGTAGCATAAAAAATCAGATGTCTCCTCCAACTTCCAGATCATCACAGTGCCTCTTGTCAATGGTTTTAAGAGAATGCACATCTCCAGTATCATAAGTGGCTCTACAAAGTGCTAGTGACTCAGGTACTTGTTGGAACCAAGGGCCAGTTGGCTCCAGACGCTTACAAGGCAGTATTTGAAAAGCAGATACAGTCAGTTTAATAAATTGCTGACGGGAGCTACTATACAACCATCTAATTGAACTGAGCCCCCATGACTGATTTATGTATTCCAAACAATAGCCAAGGTTCCTTTTCCTGGAATTTTTATACTTCCTTCTCTAAACTTTCCAGATGCTTCAAGCTCTTAGACTTTGTTTTAGTCCTTCTGAAGTTATAACATTTTTTTGAGGTCTGTTTTCACTAATTTTCTAAATTGTGAATGTTTTCCCCAGAGTTCCTGTCTTTGCTGACTTAGATAGCATATGTTGCACTTTCCATAGGAAAATAAAATCATTTCTGCAGCTATGGCTCACATTTTCCTCTTAATTTGTGCACTTAGCCCTTGGCAATATACAAAAAAATAAGCAAGCAGAGTCTAAATTGTGTAAAATTAGAAGTAGATTTAAATTTCATTCTTTCTCTATATTTAATATTCCATAGTATTTGATTATAAATTCTTGGATGCTAAAATTACTAAGACTATATCCTATAAATTCTTCAGTTAGTTACTCTTATTTTCTAAACATATTTAGAAAAATACATTTCTAAGGTACTTAAGTTTAAAATTTCTCAATCTGAGTGTACAACCTTACTGAATGTAGCAGTTCATCCAAATATGAGATGCCTACATATATTTCTTATAATATTCCCTCATCATTGAAAAATCAGAATGGAAACACTCCAACAAAATAAATACATGTCCCAAGTAAAAATAACTCCACCTGAAGTTCTGTGAAAATGCTGATTATGATGAGCCTAATGAAACCTTCCAGATATTGATTGATGTTAAAATATGTTTCTCAAAGAAGTTTATGTCTGATTAGTCATGAAGAAGCAGTGTTAGCCTTCGTGTATGTCTGGTAGTTTGGCATTTTTTGTGGTACCATGTCTTTTTTTTTCTGAGAATGCAAAATTGGGATCTCACTTGCTGACCCAAATGTGTGAAGAGACTGTCATAAAATATTTATGCTGTGGAATAGTAGATAAATAACTAGCATGCACAACTTGAATGCCAATTAATACCCTGGAAAATATTTTCAATGCTGTTAATAATTTAACATGGCTTATTTTACTAATGAAAACCTAGTTTAACCATTTCCATGGAAATGGAACTCAGTGGGCAGGGAAGCAAAAATAGCCCAAGGCTCCTTCAAGCTCCGGATGCCTTCACTGTAGCTTTATTTCTGATCCACCTAATAAAATATGCAAACTTCAGCCTTAAGTATCTCTAACTATAAAATCCATTCCATTTTATAACCAGACTGCTTGAGCTATGTAGTTCTGGACTCAATTAGCATGCTTAGAGAATCTGAAAAATGAAATACATACCAAAATTTAAGTCCCCAGGGAGAGCTAAGTGCAATAATCAGAAGGTGACTTGTGTCTGCCAGAGCCCTTGCTCGCTCACGCTGGTCTCAGGGCAGTTCTGTAGGAGTAATCCAGCACCATAAGAAATAGACTTGTAGTTCAGCTCAGTTTTTCTTCAATTAAAGTGCATTGTATGAGGATGGGCAAAGTGTCGAATCCCAGATTCTGCATCACTAGGAATCAGAGCATTCTTGAGATTCTTCCTATGAGATAAAATGGCCTTTAAAGTTTGCTAAGAAGATGCAGTGCCAGAAGACAGGTGCTCGCTTCCTTACATCGACATTCAGAGAAAGGAGGGCATAGCTAATGGGTGGGGATGAATACACAGTCCCTCTCCTTCCAGGTCCAGCAGGGAAGAAATTGGACGATTTTACCCACTTTTCCACACAGATGATAACAAGACCCGAAGCAATCACCAGGCTGGCTAAGGTAACTCATTTGATTATATTCTGTGGAGGCAAAAATAAATGAAAACAAAACAAAAATCAGACACGTCCTCTCTAAATGCCTCCTTCCGTCCAAAAAGATGCTCTTTTTCCTTGTCACTTACGTACAGAAGGTTTAAAGCAGCCTAGCTTGTGGCATCGTCCCTCCCCCGTGACAACCAGCTCTCTCCCTCTCTCTCTTTCTCATTCTCTCTCGCTCTCCAATCCCTCCCTCCCTTCCCCTGACTCCCTCCCTTCCTGCTTCTCCCTCTCCTCTCCAGCTGCCTTAGTCTGTTGATGCTGCTGCTGATTAATCAGGGATTCTGAAACAAAGAACCTACCTTCTGAAATAAGCAGTAATCTCTCTCTTCTGCTCCTGCAGTTCGTCTGCCTTGAATGGCAAAGCTGCCGGCATCCTAGCACCTTGGATAGTTCCTGCTCCCTAGGCCCATTGGAGAAGGGGGAAGGAGCAACTGAAGAAATGGCCAGGAACCCGAAAGCAGCACCGTTCTACTTTGGATTTGGGCTCCCTGGGGTCTTCCCTCCTCATTAAAGGCCTCACATCTAGGCAACAGAACCTCTATTTTTTATCCAACTGAGCTGAAGTCTGATCAGTAAATAATAAAATGAAAAGAGGGTAAAGAAATCCCTTCATTTATATCCACTGTAGTACCAGTTTTGTCCTTCTGGAGTAGAAAAATAGAAATCCATAAAGAATGACTCTTCCTACTACAGAGGCTGCTTAAGTGAGAAGCTTTTCACCCCGGGTGAGGCTACTAAAAATGAGCAACAACTTAAAGGGAACATCCGGATCTCAGTTTGATACCCTTATTTGATATCAATTTTGCTTCCACCCTCCCCGCACAGCACAGCCACGCACACAATTACTGCTGACGTACTTCAGGCTGCTGCTTGGGGAAAGAGGGGAGGAGCCTTTTAACCTCATCAAAACAGCTTCATGCCACCTGCTCCCATGGCATGAGAACAAAACTAGCCCTTCTGGAAGGAACATGCACAGCACACACGAACATGGAACAAAGGTCTCGCTCAGAGAGCAGTTTTTAGCAAAAATAATACGTGAAGTAATTACCCCATGTGTGTCACTACCTCCTATAGCCTCCCTGCTGAAATTATTTATTCATTCTCTTTCTCATTTTTCCTGCATTTTCTCCTCAATATCCTACAGAGTTTATATGTATAATTTATGGTATCGGTCACAGCTTGTACATATGTGTGCATATATGTGTCTAAACATACTAAAAATATGTGTGTGTACAGTATATGTGTGGATGTGTATATATGCCTATTAAGTCTTATGTATTTATCTAGCTGGCTTTGCCTAAGTGGAATAGCAAAATGTAAATTTTAAAAATATTTTTATTATATAATATTGTAAAAGTAAGAATGAGCAGTAGGTTTCTGCTCCATTTGGGGGTAAAATACCAATTCTGAGAGTGAAAATGTGCTCCTCATTCAATAGCAACCCCTAGAATTTTTCATCACTTTTTTTGCCAATAAGTCTTATTATAAATGACCTTCACTCACACACTGAGTCTCCCAGTAGGTAAATATCTAGATTCATAAATAATTTCTTAGAGAAATGTGTTCTGTACGTAAAGTGGTTTTTCATGCATCACCTGACCATAAAATTAATAATAAATTTAAGTTCACCTTCGTCATTCTTAAATGCCACCTGAGACTATGCTATGATTTTGTAAAATTTGTTTTTTACCTGTACGATCAAATCATCACATTATATTAATATCAATCTTCTGATTATATAGGTTGTAAAGTGTGTTCTTAAAGTTCATCCCTTACTTCCTGGTTTTTGAACCTTTCCTTTCTGGGTGGAAGAGGATTTCTGTTTAAAGTTAAGAAGTAAGTTCTCTGAACGATTAGAGAGAGGAAAAGAAGTTAGGGTACTATATTTGGGAAAATCAAAAGGCCACATCCTGTCTCTCTCTAATTCTTTCTCTCCTCCCATCTCCAACTCTGCCATCCATCTCTGTCTCTGTCTTTGTCTCACTATCTGTTTTTCTGTCTTAAGGAAGTCCTAAAACCTCAACACATTGCAGGAAATGGCCTCAAATACCACTTACAATCTAGGACAGCCACGACACTGTGATCAAGAAGTTCACTAATGATTCATTATATTTGGTTCTGAAATATTCTCATAAAAGTCGTCTGTCAGCACACAGCCAAAGGTGACAAAGATTCTTTATGGGGAAATGATGTGAAAGACATTTTATGAAGTGGAAATACTTTACCATGCCTGATAATCTTACCAGGTTTGGGCAGTAATAATGTAAATGATAGCTTGAGAAAAGTGTGAAGCTTGTTTTTACATATAAGAAAAGCAATACACAGATAAACAAAATGACTTGCTTCTAGTCGCCTGCTCATCAACTCATTAGGATTAGGACAAAGTTCACCGAGTGAGTGACTCTGCGAGTCCCAGCATCATGGGCCATTATCCCAGTTCTCTCTCAGCTGGACTTGTGCACCAGGGCCTTCCCAACCACGAGGTAAGGCTGAATGATGGGTAGCTGTCCAGTGTAAACAGAATCTGCCATTTTTACCTAAAATTTCCAAAAATAGAGGGGATTTTATCCTGAAAAGAATAGAGGGCACATTTACAATAACAAATAGTCCTTTAAATTGAATATTTACAACTTTAAGAAACTATCATATTGCCTGACAAGCCCGCCTCTTTCTTTCCTGCTTCATCCCCTCTGCCTCCCTCCCTCCATCCCTTTCTTCCTTCCCTCCTTTACTTGCCTGCTTTTCCCCTCTTCTCAGAGAATAGGTCATGGGCATCATTACGTCATGCCTACCTTATCTTCTCAGTCCAGCACTCTTCATTCTAGGCTTCAGCATTTACTAATTGGACAATTTCTCCCCTGGAGATGTATTGCTGTACAGGAGTGTATAGCACCTTTGGGAGTTGGTGTCCAGAACTATTTCTTTAGATCTTATTAAAGGAAACAAAAAAGCACTGTATACTCTTCCAAATGACCTTAGAACCCAACACAAAAGTCTCTTTTACTCATTTCAGTAGTGTCCAGAGTAAAATGCATTGCACAAAATTAAAGTTCAACATCCTTATAATAAGACTAGAGGAATGCAAAGATCCCAAGCACTCAGAAAAGAGATACGTGGAGTTTATTTCTTGTATACTGCTATAAAATGCATAGATTTTTCTGGTATCCATAGACAACTAGTCACTGTGTGCCTCATGACTTGACATATTTTCTAAAGCTCTTAAATCAGGGTGAAGTGGGGCTTTTTGTATTACTCAGATGGAGGAAGTGGATGCTTTTGGGGATAAGCAGGTCCCTTCAGTGAACTCAAACACAGAAGGAAGGCCACAGCCTTGAAAATGTTTCTTATTTTGAAAACTGGCCACATGATAAGGAGTGCTTTCTGTATAAAAGTGATTCAAATAGGAAATGTGAGAATTAACATAGAGCAATCCAGTTACCTAATTTTAAAAAACTTGTTAAAATCCATCAGGAGGGTACTCTCTGAATTCATGTCAATGTATAATAAAGCCTTCCTGAGATTTTCCATGATTATTCACTCTACACTTAGTTTATTGAGGTGACCCCTCTTTTACAATGAACTAGTTGCATTAGTGAAACAGCTGAGCTTCTTCCCATTCAGTCAGGATTTCTGAGTATTCTGGTAACAGCATGAGATGAAAGTCTTGGTAAAATGAGAATCATGTGCACCTCATGAATTTTGCCTAGACCAACAAAGATGTTGGTGGATGTAACACATAAAGGCTAGAGGTCATGGAGCAGCAGAGGCAATATGGGTGCTCTACAATCTAGGGTACGCAGGGATGAACAAAAATAAGATTTATACTTTAATGATGCATACAAAGACTACAGTTATAGTCCCATAGGAGAACACTGGCAAGAAATGGAATATTCTCATTGCAAGAAACTTATGACCAGACACAGATACCTTCTTCATTTTGTTCAACAGATACTTGATAGTGAAGATTTGAGAACTAGTGCAAGTATATTTACCTTTGAAATTGACACAAGCATCACTAGAAAGGGATTGAACTGTCTGTTGAATCAGACACTATCACTCCAAGCAATTCTCTCTTTTCTCTGAATAGATTATATCTACTCAAGCTCTGAATACTAGATCTTTCTTACTCTGGTAGCCTGTTCTAATGTACTACAGTCAAAAGTGGGTGCCTGTTCTCTATATTATAACATTTCCAGTGACTCGCTACAATAAAATTATGAGTTTTTTCCACACTAAATATGTCTGTTATATTTTATATGTGTCTGTGTGACACTTGTTAGAAATGGAATTTTCTCCCTTCTGTTCCCAGCGTCTTGGCATAGGAATGGCACCTCCCCAGTGCTAGAGGTTTGTTGAATTAATGCATTAATTTAGGTCTCAATCCATGGCATGCCCTACACAAGTATAAATTTTAAAGTGCCTACATAATGAACATAAAATACCTTTTTAAAAATAAAATTAGGAACCCAGATTTTAAAATAAAAATTGTCCATCTCAAACCCAAGCACTTGCAAAGGAAAATCCTTTCAAAGGGATTCGATATCTTTTCTACGTGGAGAGTCCAAAGTAACCAGTTTGAAACTGACTATACATCATGATAATTCTATAAGAAGATCTCCTGAACATACAACAGAACAATCTTATTTAGGGCAACAAATAAAAACATTTCAAAATAATGTCTCAGCTCAGAAGTCTATAACAAAAGACCACAGACTGAGTAGCTTAGCCGATTTGGGGTTCTGAAAAGTCCATAATTAAGGTGCTGATAGATCTGGATCCTGATGAAGGCCCACTTCCTGGCTTTCAGGGTGTGCTTTCTGATTATGGATGAGAGTGGGAGAAAGAAAGAGGGAGAGAGCATGGAGAAAAAAGAGAGACAGAGACAGAGAGATAGGGAGAGAAAGAGAGAAATCTGGTTTGTCTCCTGCTTCCTACAAAAGTACTAATCCAATCACAGAGGCCTCAGTTCAT